TACAAATTGAGTGGCTAGAAAAAATGACCATAATTGACAATTTTTTAATCAGATTTCTCAACAATAAGTGTTATTTATGGGGCTCAAGCTACATTTTCACATAGCTTACTTCATTCAGCAAGTTTGATGAGGAAAAATAAATGTACTAAATAAAGTTTAATTGGTTGGTGAGCCCCATATAACATACAAAACAGAGTTAATTAAATATTTTACTCCAAGCTTTTTTTTTTCTTTCAATGAGATAAACACTCTGGAAATAAAAGAAAGAAACAAGGGAATTGCTGAGGTAATTCGAATAAAACTTTTCCTTCCTTGACCTCAAGTGGAGCTGGGACCTGAGCTATGCAATTATCTAAAGCCTCCTCCTCAGTTTACTAGGGGTGGCCTGTCAAAGGACAGCTTTGATGTTATTTGGAATTGGTTTGTTTCTAGCATGTTGGACTTTGTCAACAATAGGAAGGAAAGAGGAAATGAGTGAAACTGTGAATAGTGAACAGAAGAAGAAGAAGTGGATGTTGTCAAAAACCCAGAGCTAAGTAGGTCCTGTGGCCTCAATCACCTCAGCATAGATCCTTAGTACCTCACAGGATACACTGACAAAAAATTCTGAGGGAGTTGCCTACACAATTTCTCTCATTAAAGCCACTATAGTTTTTTTTTAAATCTCTGATGTTTCAGATGTGGCAAAATTCACCGCCAGAATTATATAAACTTTTTAAATAGATAAACAATGATAGTACTTTTTCAAAAATGTACTGTGGCTCTGATCATTTTAATAATTCATACTAAATGTGTCTATTAATAAATCATTAGTTAGATTTGTGTCTCCATAAGCAAAATGGATATCCTATTATCTAGATAAATTTCACAGAAGAAAAACATACCTACTATTAAAGAAAACTGTTCTTCTGAATTATCCAGATTATTAATACTGGATAATTGTTCAATCTTCCATTGCCTATCTAGGTACAGGCTACAATTTTGATTCTCTCTTGCCTTATAAAATGTTTCAAGAAAAATAAAAAAGGTGTGAAATGACTTTGGAGTAATTCCATAAATGGCCTCATTCAGTAGCCTGATGATTCTGTAAATCACCAGTAACAGCTGTAGACCAATTAAGTTCAAAAGTGTACAGGTGGTCAGAGGAATGACTTGAAAAATGCACTCCAGTTTAGAGGCTTTTATTTCTTAAAAATATTACATCTCTTTCTCTTTGGTGCCAAAAAAATAAGAGAGAAAAGAGTTGAAGAGAAAAAAAACCTCGATGATGCAGTGGAATAAAACCTAGTCAGTACCAGATGTAACCAAATTAAACTTAACAGTTCACAGGTGTTCACAGAAACTGCTCATAATTTATTTGAAAAAATATCACTCCATGGTATTTTTATGACTAATGCAAAACACCCAGTCTTATTTAAAATAAGAATCCTTAAAACTGCAGTGATAACCACATGCCATTTCCCCACTAATAACCATGTCATTTATGCACTGTATCTACATCCATAGGGCCTGCTAAATTCTATCACTGCTGATATTTGTGTCACTCATATTCTTATAACCATACATATAAATCAGTCTAGAGCAAACTCAAAATCTTTTTGTGTGACCATATGAGGAACCCACAACACCCCATTTAGGAAAAGAGATGGTCTTAAGTCACTAACTCATACCAGAAACCCTGGGGATATTTCAAAATCATACAGTAGGAGGAGGAAAAGATGCATTTCAGTTAATGGGTGTTGCAAGAATTGCTGCATATATGATATATCAAGCAACCTTGCTTTACAAAATACTTGTTCAATTGGTTAAGGGGTCATGTGACTCCTTTGGTCATTCACAGCAGTATATTTCTCACTCTGATTTTTCATGACTGAACTAAATAAACATGCACACAATTATTGTAGTGTTTATGTAAAGAGAATGTTGGATGGAGGCAGGTAAGAATCATTAATGCTTTGAAGTCATCCTTTTGCTCAACATTATTACCTCATTATCTCATCTCCTTTAAGTAAATGAGGCCTGGAAATTCTACCTGTTCCATTTTCCTACATGGAGGTGATGAAGACTCCTTTGTCAGAAGGCAATTCTTTTTTTTTGATTAGAATTATTTTCAAAATTTAATACACCCCTCATGAAAAGGAGTGTAACTTCACTTTCTAGCTGGTTTTCCAGTCTCATATTTATGGGAAGAGGACAAAGATATGAGAAAATTGTGTACATATTTTAAACAATGCGTCTAGAATGTGGATTTAGCCCGCATGTCTGCCTTAATGTGACAACTCTTTTTTTTTTGGCAGAGAATGCAAACAATACTGTGGGACTGAAAGGGGGTAAAAAGATGGCTCAGATAAACCAAAATGGAGAGGGATATATAGATATAGATATATAGATATATGTGTGTATCCATGTCTACATGAATGTATCTGTATCTATCTATCTATCTATCTATAATAATATATCCATGCAGATAATGGATAACTGGGCCATGAATTTAATCCATAGAGGGAAAATAGGCATCTGTCTCTTCCACCATCCTTGTGTCTATCAATGCTGAACACTGAGTCTGTGCTTTTGAACATATAACAACTAACAAACCTAATTAGAATATGTCTTCCAATTTATAGGCTGAGATTATATGTAAGTTTTAGAGATCTCTTTGAATCTCTTCCTTCCAAACACTGTAAAGGTGGTTCTATTCTTCAGCCTTTCCAAAAGGATGTAATTTCTCTTTCATAGCATATTTGGCTTGAACATTTCTGAGAAATTATCTAGATAATCAACTGTTTCTTAAGCCAGGGGAAGTGGAGGTACATTTAATTATAGAAGAGGAAAAGCCTGTCTCAAGCCTTTATAGTGAAGTTCATATAGTGGCATGCCCCATTATACCTCTGTGCCCTAAGTTTCAGGGGAAATCAACTTGGGAATGGGGAAAAATGGGTAAAATTTATTTGGAAATATTGATAATCATAATCTAAAATGTGATATGTAAATAAGATGATGTGTTTAATACAAATAATAGCTAATATATAGTACCACTTTATGGTTATAAAGTCCTTTATATTTGTTATTACTTTTAGACTTCAAAGCCACTCCAGGAAGCAGAATGTGTATGTGTCATCAACATTTTTCAGATGAGGAAAACTGAGGCCCAGAAAACTAAATTACTTGCCTGATATTATTTAAGTAAAAGTGAAATAGCCAAGATTCAACTGTCATTTCTACTAATGTCCTTTCCACAAATTCATGATTTATTTAAATTATAAGAATAATAAGGAGATTAGAATTAGAAGAATTAACATTTAAATAAGACCTATACATTGTTACATACAGGCTCTCAATACATACCCTCTGAGTGATGAGTATTTCAGAGCTAGTGCTATATTACATTTGTCTCCAGAAGGCCTCTGCTTCATAGACTCTGCCCTTAATAAACCCTGAATCTTTCCAAATGCTACCTCAAGTCACACAAGGCAGGGGTGATAGATATACAAACCCTCTCTGGCCTACCTGCCTGCCATCAACATGAAAAAGACAGGAAAAACACCTCTCACAAAAGGGAAGTTTCTTGGAAAATACAGACAGTGGAGTCACATGATTAACTTGCCGAAGTTGTTAACCCGGACTTTATTTTTCTTTAAATACCCTCATACTTTCAAATAAACCCCAAAGTGGGCCTACTTAATTAAATCTCCCAGTCCTTGTAAAGCATCATCTTTAAATGTATCCTGTAATATTTCTCTCAACAAGACAATGGGACCCACCTGTAAAATGATTTGATTGCATATTATTTTACCACAGACACTGGCCTTGGTGCTGAAGCTTCCCTGTTCCCAGCAATGCTAACAAATTATTTAAAAGATTGAAGGGAGAAGAGTACTGTACACAACAGGCAATTAATAAATATTTGTAAGATTGAATTGAATTGAATCAGGAGCTATTGATCCATCTTCTTAGACTATCTTGCTGAGATAATGGATTTTCTAGGATATAGGAAAGAATGATGGATAATGAACTGCAAAGCTAAGTACTAAATTGTCAAGGAATATATGGATGAAATTCTGAAAGTATTTGTCTATGTTTAACTGACACTAATCTTTACTGAGTTGCTTGAGATGCATTGTATATACAGGCATTTGAGGTTAGTTTAGTAGTCACTAATACTTAAGCAAGTCAAGTTTCTGAAACTTTGTTATTAAAGGTCCTCCTACCACCAATGAATATTATACCATAACTATTACTGAGTAAACATTCTTAAAGAATCACTGAGGTAGGGGCAGCTAGGTGGCACAGTGGATAGAGCACCGGCCCTGAAGTCAGGAGGATCTGGGTTCAAATCTGGACTCAGACCAAACACTTGACACTTACTAGCTGTGTGACCCTGGGCAAGTCACTAAACCCCAATTGCCTAAAACCAAAAAAAAAACCCAAAGAATTACTGAGGTAAAATAAATCATCATCTTGTGGTAACCTAGTGATGAGTAGATAATTTTATGAATATTCAAGGTCAGTTTTGATTTAATTTTCATGAGGAAGAGGGGCAGGAAATGCAAAGAACCCTTAAATATCCCCAAGTTCTTGATAAAAAGTTTGATTGTTCTGCATTACATTTTCTAAAAAGTGGCAACTCTGTCTGGATATCTTTTTACTGGTATTTTTTCTTTTTCCTTTTTCTTTCCTTCTCTCTCTCTCTCTCTCTCTCTCTCTCTCTCTCTCTCTCTCTCTCTCTCTCTCTCTCTCTCTTGCAAGCTCCTAAGAAAGAATGTTGTTTCAGATTCTGAAACTATAGAGTCATAAAAATTAATTTTAGGAAGATGGCATGGAGCTCTGATCATCTAGCAACAATTGGAAAAAAAGCTTCAAATCATGGCTATCAGAGTCTAGGCCTCTTTAAAATGTATTAATTGGGTTTGTAATGCTGTATAGAACCTAACAACTAACACAAAATCATTTTTTTTCATAAAGTTAAAGCCCAAGGTTTAATAGCTATTATTTGTTCCCAGGGGTCATGGGTGAATATGAGCCAAAAATAGAAGTACAGTTTCCAGAGACAGTCCCAACTGCGAAAGGAGCAACTGTGAAGTTGGAATGCTTTGCTTTGGGAAAGTAAGTTTTAATGTCTTTCATCATCCTTTTTTGAATATTGTTGTTTTTAAAGTTTTGGTAGGTTTAGAGTTTGCTACCTAGTTTTGACATTGATTTTTAGGAGATTTGGTAACAAAGAAAGCATTACTGTTTTTTTTAATTTTGTGAGTATGCATCTTTGGTTTTATTTTCTCACAGAGAAGAGAAGTAGTGTAATGGCACCAGGAAGATTAAGCTGTCACAATTGATGTGACCAGAAAGAAGAAGAGAATGGGCTATTCTGAAAGTGTATTTCATTCACTTATTATGGCTTGTAATGTGCCACACTGTCTAAATGGGTATGACACAAAAACAATGCTCTTCATTTGAGGTACATTTAAGTTAACTCTTTGGGAAAAATACAGACTTTTACTGCTGGCCTGGTGCACAGAGGACAGATGCATCACGATTTTCTTGAAACCGATTTTGAATTACCTAGTCTCTCTAGGTAATTACCTAGTTTCCTCCTACACTTTAGGCAAAGGAACATAAAGTTACTGCATCTATAGGCATGAAAAATTAATGTATTCTCTGAGAGATGCAATGCTTTCTTTTTTATTAACATCTTTTGTTTTTATAACATCTTATTTCCTGATATATCCCTCCATCCTCCATCAGGAGGGTCATCCCTTATATCAAAAAATGAAAAACAGAGGGGAAAAAAGTGGTTCAGTAAAACTAACAAATATGTAAGCCCAGTCTGAGCATACATGAAATATTCTACTTGCTCAGTCCCCCAAAGAAGGGAAGGAGATGCTATCATTCTTTCTAACCTGATTTGTGAATTTAACAAAATTTGATAATGTAATGGATAAAGTCCTAGATTTAGAATCATAGAACCCAGGATCAGGTCTTGGCTATCTGTGTCACATTGAGCAAATCGTTTGTACTCTCCAAACTTCAGTTTGTACATCTATAAAATGGGGATTAAATTACTTCTCATATCCCTTTCAACTCTGAATCTATGATGCTAAGACTCCTTGTGGATTTACTGTGCTCTTCACTTCTTTTCCCTCTACCTACCTTCCTTTGGGCCATCTTATTGCTCAAAAGAGTACAGAGTTATCATCCATTTTTTTCAAAAATTTTATCCTATAAGGACAGTTAAATTCAAATCAGAATTTTTCTGCATACTGTTAATAAAAATTTTGGTGGGGTGGTTTTAACTTTCAACTAAATTAAGGATTTGAGAGTCCTCTGTAGATTTTAATTATCCACATCATTCCCCATAGCTCTTACTGAAATATTAAAGTAAGTCATTTCCATTGTCCTGAATCATGTTTTGTTAGCATGCTATTTTTCACTGTGAAGTAATATAATGTCCCCAAGACCTCACTGCATTCTTCAGAGGATTAGTCAGAGTGACATTGAATTTTAGAGCTGGAATGAAGAGGAGGCAACTGAGACATTGGTATTGTCTGTACCATGCTCTGGCTTGGGCAAAGGTGACACAAACCAGTGCAGTGCAAAGGATGTTTCAATGGTCTTTGGCCCCAAGTAATAAAATCTGACCTGCTAAGGGAGCCCAATGCAAGTAGCTAAAAAGAGAACCTGGTTAGCTCCATTCTGTAAGCAAAGTCTTTGTAGAATACCACAGACAATTCTTGTAAAACAATGATATAGCAAAGAAGCTCATGTTGTTTGGATTTCAAGGGGGACTATGAATTCAACTGAATTTTTGCTTACTAAATGGTAGTGCTGGTAAGCTACGAAAGATTAAAAAATGGGCTTAGGGAATCTACACAGAAATATTCATGTCTGTATAACCAGATGCTCGTCATCATCATCATCATCATCATCATCATCCATTTCAGAGCATCTCAGAAAGATGCCATAGCTAAAGTAATTTTCAAAGGCCATATTGAGTGTGCACATCATCAAATATACAAAAAAAAATGTGTTGAATGAGCTTTGGTGGAGCCTCCTCTGTTGTCCTGATTATTCAAGAATGTGTCTAGTGAACATAAATCCCTGTACTAAAAGCATGGTCAAGTTGATTCTTTTAGTTTTTGAAGTATGATGTCAAATTCTGCAGATGAGTTTTCAGACTCTCTACATAATATATGTAAATTTCTGAAAGTAAATTTTTGAACCAACTGTTCTAGAGCTGCAGTGAGGATATCATTGGTTGTTGGAATATCCTGCCAATTTTCAGACTTGGTTAAGATTCCACATTTGCAGATTAAGATGTATGCTGTGGGAAGCAGCTACATGATGGCAGACAAATGTTTGAACACTACATGAAAGCCCTAGCATCTGATCCTACCCTTAATTGCAGTAGTTTCGCTCAAGCTTTGCAAAGAGAATTTTTGAGAAGATAAAATGCATCTGCAATCTCATCAATTTGGATGCTGTCTTCAACAATGAAGATTGTAATCCACCTACTCCTACCCATCCTATGTGACTCTTGTCCATGTTCTCCCATGAGTTCATCACAAGAGGTCTACTCAGGGCCTTCCCTGACAAAACCATCTTTGTCATCAGTTATTGAACTCCTAATGCATAAACAACACAGAAGGGAAGAGAAACATACTGGGTTAATATAGCTTGGCTTGTAAGTTACCTTTCAAGAATTATACATATGAACTAAAAAGGCATTTAAACCATTAGGAATTAGTGAATTTCCTCCTTCTGTTTTAGTCAAAGTCACGTGGCATATTCACTCAAATTAACTATTTTGATTACAGAAAATTTTAAGTTATGTGTATAATACAGATTTGAGAACATATTAGCATTATAGTATTCATTTATATTTCAGATAAAGAAGAATTCCTTTTCAGCCTTTGCTATACATGAATGACCAACATGAGGAAAATAACTGAATGGAAAGACTTTTGTTTTTAGATGCAAAACTTTAAGTAAAAAGCATTATCCTCTATAATGTGGTTCACTCCATTTTTTTTTATTATTAGTCCAGTTCCAACTATTATCTGGCGAAGAGCTGATGGAAAGCCAATAGCCAGGAAAGCCAGAAGACACAAATCCAATGGGATTCTTGAAATTCCAAATTTCCAGCAGGAAGATGCTGGTCTATATGAGTGTGTAGCTGAAAATTCAAGAGGAAAAAATGTGGCCAGAGGACAGTTGACATTTTATGGTAAGTGTATGATTCTCATTGTATATAGTGATTCACAAACTCTTTGGCATTATTACAGCAAAGAGTCAGAAGGAAGGGACACCTAGGTGGTACAGTGGCTAGAGCACTGGCCCTGAAGTCAGGACGACCTGAGTTCAAATCCAGCCTCAGACCAAACACAACACTTATGAGCTATGCGACCCTGGGCAAGTCACTTAACCCCAATTGCCTAAAACAAAAAAGAGTTGGAAGGAACCTGTTGGAAGGTTCTGAATAATATTGCCTAGAATAATTGTTATTATTTCAATTTATAGCATATGTTAGCTTTCCCTAGGTGATACAGGATTGAAAGGAGTAAGTTTATGGGGTTGACTGGACCTAGGAAGAATGGAAGAAATTCATTGGAAATGTTTAGAAAATAGACTGGTGGAAAACATATGGAAAGCAACACATTTTGTCATGCATTCATAAGGATACCATCTTGATCAAAGAGATTTTCTTATTATTCCTCCTAATTTGTTTATAAAGTGCCAGTTTCTTCTTCAATTGATTTTTTCATTAGGAGCTAGCTTTAATGTCTTATAATTGCTTTTATTTGGTAGAGATTTCATGCAGTATCATATTTCCAAACACGAACTGTCCAAATTTTATGCTTTCCAAAGCAGAGCATGACAAATTCTTCTCACCCTGAAGAATTTTTATGTGCAACTGCTCCTGTTCATTATCAAATCATCAGCATTGATTCAGAGCTAATATTGATATCAAACTTCAAACATGTGGGCTTCCATTTAATCTGTTGGAAAACCCTGGACAAGACCTGTTCTTGTTGATTAAGAACAACAACAAAGTTTTGCACCACATCAGCTCTTAAGAGGCAATGGGGTTTTGCCAAATCCAGTCAGGTGTCAAGGCCTGTAAATTTTAACTACTTAAACATTTTTAATATCTCTCCTGTTTTTCCACTCCTGCTGAAGCTTTTCTAGTTCCGACTCACTTATCTCTTAGCCTAGACTCTTTTAAGAACCATCTAACTTCTTGCCCCCAATCTATCCCCTCTGCAATCTGTTCTTTACTTTCCTTCCTGAATAATCTTCCTAGTGGACAATTATTGCATCCATTCTGAATTTAAAAGAAAAAAAGCATTCAATGGATCCCTATTACCTATTAACAAGATTTAATCTCTTTATCCTGGCTTTTAAAGCCCTCCATTATTTGATTCTAACATACATTCCCAACCTTATATTTTGTCTCTATATTTCATCCTCTTATTCCTCTCAAATTCACCCAACTGTGCCTAGGCATTTGTAATTTCTAGTCAAGAAGTTGTCAGATTCACATAGAACCTCAATGTTAAACAAGACCACAGAGATCATCTGATAAAATCTGTAATTGAACAGAAATAGGTTCCACAACACACATGACTATTGGTCATTCAACCTCTATTTGAAGAACTGCAGCAAAGAAGAAGCTACCATTTCTGAAGATGGCCCTATTCACTCTGGGACACCTCTGATTTTCAGGAAATGTTTCCTTAATCGGATTTGAAATCTTCATCTCTATGATTTCTTGTCTTTGTTCTTAAGGGGACAAAGGGGCAGCTAGATGGCGCAGTGGATAGAGCACTGGCCCTGGAGTCAGGAGGACCTGAGTTCAAATCCAGCCTCAGACACATGATACTCACTAGCTGTGTGACCTTGGGCAAATCACTTAACCACAGTTGCCTCACCCCCCCTAAAAAAAAAGGTAGTTTAATCACTCTTAAATATGACTAATCTTTAAATACTTGAAGAGACCTGTTATCTCTCTCATACCTCCCCCTACCACCAGTCTTCCTTTTCAGACTAAATACCCTCATTTCCTTCAACTAGTCTTGATATAGCTTATTCTAATTTCACCACTTCATTTTTGGTCATGCTTTTCTAGATCTGTTCCAGAAACTCAAACATTATTCTACATTGCTCTAGGGACCATCACTGTTTTTCTTCTGAACAATGAGATCTTTAACTTTTAAATTAGATTCTTAGTGACATTTTCTTTTTGTATTACTTAGATTTTCCTCTTTATCTCTTTTCTTTGTCCTCTCCAAGGAAGTCATTCATTACAACAAAGAGTTTTCAAGAGAAAGTATACTTTGCAAAGGATCTGACAATATGCACAGTGTTCCATACATGTGACTTTCCACCTTGGGGAAGCAAGAGTAGGTCTTTCCTCCTATCCCTTCTTTAGGGGCAAGCTTATTCTTTATAATTTTGGAACATTCCATTCTAATTGCTTTGTGGCTTTTGTTCTTTCCATTTACATGTAATCACTGTGTACAATATTTTCTGGCTCAGCTAACATTACTCTGCATTAGTTTGTATAAATCTTTTTATGTCAGTCAGTAAGTACCTACTATGTGTCAAGGACTGTTCTAAATACTGGGAATGCACAAAGGCAAAAGATAGTCCCTGCCTTCAAGGAGCTCACAATCTAATAAGCAACAAATATGTACAAACTAGCTTTAATATAGTGTAAATAGGAAATAAGTATGAGAACAAAGGCACTAGAATCTAGAGGTTGGTAAAGCCTCCTTGTAAAAGTTGAGAAATGTTAGCTAAGAGTTGGAGGAAGCCTGGGTGATTGGAGGGACAGCATTCCAGACATAGGGTACTGCCAAAGAAAATGCCTAGAACTGAGAGAGAGTCTTGGTTGTGGTAGAGCAAGGAGAATAGTGTCACTTGATCGAAGAGGGGTGTGTGTGTGTGTGTGTGTGTGTGTGTGTGTGTGAGAGAGAGAGAGAGGGAGAGAGAGAGAGAGAGAGAGAGAGAGAGAGAGAGAGAGAGAGAGAGAGAGAGAGAGAGAGAAGGGGGAAGGAGAGGAGAGGAAAGGAGATGAAGTCAAGTTGTGAAGGGCTTTGAATGTCAAAAAGAGAATTTTGTATTTGATCCTGGAGGTAATTGGAATTTATTGAGTATAAGGGTAACAAAGTGACACAGATGTATTGCTTTATTATGTTCATCATTTCTAACGATACAGTAATATCCCATTTCTCAAATAGGAGGAAAAGACATGTTTATTTTTTACCTGGATCTGTGAATCATTTGTAGGAACATTATTCATATGCATCATGCACATTGCATGACTTTTTTATTAATTGTTTTTGTATATATTCATATATTATCAAATAGCATTCATTAAGTATTTGCTTTGTATACCAAAAGGCAGAATGGTAAAGTCAAGAAAGAGCTGGCCTCTGAGCCAGAAAAGCCCTAGATTACATCCTGCATCTGATGCATGCTGGTTGTATGAACTTTTGCAAGATACTATATTGACCTCCTCTGTACTGTAAGAAACTCTCAAAACCAGGGGTCCTTAACCTTGTTTGTGCCTCGGACCACTTTGGCATTCTGATAAAACCTATGAGTCCCTTCTCAGACTAATACTTTGAGATACATAAAATACGTAGAATTATGAAGCAAACCAATTATACTGAATGCAAATGTGTGTGGGTTCATGGATCTTTTAAGAGCCTCTGCACTAAATTATAAATTGCAGAGTAGTAGATGCTGACCTTCATTGTTCTAGAGAGTGTCTGTATGCAGAAGTTCCTTATTCCAATGAAGTCACAGGTCTATTCCCCGCCCCCTCACCCCCATCTCTGGCCTCAGGCACTGTGCTAGACACTGAGAATAGGAAGGCAAAAAATAAACTAATCTTTGTTCTCAAATTAGCATTTTGTGTGCATATTTGGATGGATGGATGGAGGGAGGGAGGGAGGGAGGGATGTGCATAGATGTGTGTTATACACACCCATACATGTATTTTAAGGACTTGGTGTGTTCAGGGAAGACCAGTAGCTCTGGTGTGAGAGCTGCTTTCCACCTTTGTGTCCGCCTGTTCCACCTAACTCTCACCTGTGGCTCCAAAAGATGTATGCACAGTGGCCACATTCCGGCAAACCATTTCAGCAAATGGGCTAACCCAGGCTGAGGTTAACCAAGGGGTCTCAAACTCATTGGTGAGTTAGGGGGGCATCTACCCTAATCATGAGGAAACTTCCCATGGTGGAATGGGCAGAGGAGAACAACTTGTTCCAACAGCCGCGAAGGTATCTGAGGCAGGTGCTTAGGAGTAATCAGAGCTTGGCTAGCCATCGAAGACACCAAGGTCATATGCTGCATCCTGAGCCATCACCAATTGTCTTGATTCTGTCCTGCCATTAGACTGTGGTGACTCTGGAGGAGAGAGTGAGGCTGATGACTACATGCAACTCTGCCTTACTTAAATCCAATTTATGCACATATCAAAGGACATCGAAGGACCCCCCCCCCAAAAAAAAGGACAATCTAGTGCTTAAACTCCCACTACCAAGGCAAATCTATAAGATATCAGAAGTATTATGAACTTAAGAAATAAAATCTACATTTGCATAACAATAGGGGGAAAAAGATGATTGCACATGAAACTGCAAATCTGTTATGTACAACTCGTTATTCCTTTTAAACATGAATAAAGTTATCATGTCACTTTTCTTTGTTTTTCCCTTTTTTTTCCTTCCCTTACCCCCTCCCCACCCTGGAGATGGCTACTATTAGACACACATATGTGTGTGTATGTAAAATCATTTTATACATACTTCTATATATCACTTCTTTCTCTGGAAGCAGATAGTGCTTTCCTTCATATGTCCTTTGTAGTTAATTTGGGTGTTTTATATCAGCTTATAGTTGGATTTATATCAGCTTATAGTTACTTGGGGCAGTGAGAAGTTGTCCATGGCTATGTAGCACTAACTATGTATAGGTTAGAAATAGGATTTGAAGTCAGGTCTTCCTGACTCCAAGAGCAGCTTTCTATCTATGACATAGGTAAGAAATCAAGGAGAGGAGCAAAAAATAAAATCTTTGTTTATTGAAAGTCTAAGGACACTACTAACCTTTCCATGAACCAATGAGGTATAACTCTTAAATTAGCAAATGGTTTTTTTATTAGAATTTTTTTAATAATATGCCATTCTTGAAGGATAGAAAATGCCTGACAAT